GGGGGGGTCAACCCCATCTGGCCATTCTGTATTTGGCATTCCCATTTCCTCCTCAGATGTACAACTGAAATTACAATCCCACCTGGACAGAGCTATGAAGAAGAACTGAAAGCCGATACTGTTAGGCGTTTGTTTTCATGACTGTTCCTACTGTTGAGAACCTTCTGGATCCTGACTCGGTCATCCCATACATTGCTGTACTGCTGGCTACAGCTGTGGATAAGCTTCATGCAAACCCTTGGTAGGAATGTTAGAACAGAGCCAAGGCACGGGCTGGAACTGTGGACTCAGGGCTGGATAAGACCCTGAGTATGTCTACATATCAGTCAAAATAGCGAGGGGACAGAAGGAGTGAACCTGGAGAAAGTAGAAGCCAAGGATAGGAACTTAACTTGCAGACAAGACGGCTCCCCAGAGGAATTATCACTTCCGTGGAGGTCCACTAGAGCCACAGATAACTACAAGTTGGGAAATTTCAGTTTAATATAAAGCAGGACTTTTTAAGTCAGAAATGCCCAGAGGTAGGATAGGCCACCTTAGAAGAGAAGTAAGCAATCTGTACAAGTTTGCCAGGGCTGCCATTCCACAGACTGGGTGGCTTAAGCAATAGAAATGTACTTTCCCACAATTCTCAAGGCTAGACGCCCAAGACCTTTTGAGGTTTCTCTCCTCAGTGTGCAGATAGGCTGCTTCTAAATGTGTGTTCATGTGGTCTTCCCTCGGTCTGTGTTTGTGTCTTAATCTCCTTTTTTTAAAGGACATCAGTTACACTGGATTAAGACCTACCCTAAGGACCCCATTTTAATTTAATTACCTCTGCAAAGACCCCATTCCCAAATACAGTCATAATCGGAGGTACTCGGTGTTAGGGATTCAACACACATACTTTGGGGAGACACAATTCTGTCGATAATACAACCTATGAACAGGGATGTGTAAAAAGAGAGGTTTGATGAGTGATAGGCAGGAAAAGCCATGTAGAAACTGAAGCATCAAATCTGAGGCATCATTGAAGGGCCCTTCAGGTCTGAGAACTACAG